AATAATTTAAGTTTATATTTAATGTCATTGAAATATTAAAAATAAAAATTTAATGATAATTTTAAATTTGTATTTAACGTTAATTTTGTTAAAATAATAATAAAAGTGCAATATAATCAATAACTTAAAATACATCAATCTGACAAGTAAGTTAAAGTCGCATCACAAAGTTACAATAATTCAATCTCATAATTCCAAACGAAAGTAAATAACTTAAAGTACATAAATCTTATTGGTTCAATCAAAGCTAGAAAATTAATCAAATTACATCTAACATAATTCTATAACATACTTAACACATGTTAATAACTTTATCAACCTCACTTTTGTAAAAAAATAAGATGAGAGTGTAGTTTTAGGGCTATATGGTACAAGGATAATTAAGATATTTAAGAAATAATATTAAACGGGTATCCGCGGGTATGTATATCATCATACCCGCCCCCGCCCCATTTATAAACGGGTAAAAATTATCCGTCCCCATTATCCGCGGGTACCCAATTAGCTTATCTATTTATTATCCGTAGCAGATTTTATCCACAGGTACCCGCGGGTGCGGGTATTTTTGACATCCCTACTCGTTCCCATCAAAATTTTATTTTTTTTATTTTTTATTAAAAAAATATGATATTATTAAATTATTTTTTTATTATATTCTAATTATAATTAGATCATTTTTTTATCTCGTATTATAATAAATAATCACGCATAAAAAATATTAAATTTTTTTAATATAATTAAATTGAAAGTAAGTATTAAATTAAAAATGAGAACAAGAACGAGTACGGGTACGGGGCGGGTAAGTACATACCTGTACCCGATTTAATATATCGGGTTTTACTCGTACCCATACTCGGTCAAACCGAGTACATCAAAGTCGGGAGAGGTTCAAGTATTACTTGCAGGTACAGGTACAGGTATATTGTCATCCCTAGTTTGAACCCATTCTAATTTGGACGAAAAAATTTGTATTTTTGAGTTCAAAATTTTTTTTGATTGGTAAAATTGGTGATGAGGACGAGGATGGAGATGTTAATACCCACTCCATCCCATCCTTGTATCCGTATCCACCACCGCCCTTGCTTAATAATATAATTATATAAACTAAAAAAATATAAAGATTTGTATTATTTTATTTTATTTTTAATTTTTAATTTTTTTTATATTTATTAGAATAAAAAGTAAAAAAAAACAGATAAAAGAATGAGTACGAGTATCTTATTTCCAAGAAGTATCGAGAATAGAAACGGTTTAAATCTACGCGGGTGAGAACCGAAAACATAAAACCCGTCCGTTGCCATGCCTCCTCGTAAGTTTGGACACATTTATTTCTTATTTAAGGTGGAAACGTAGGTGACGTGGTTATATATACTCCAAACACGCGCACTTGCACGTGTTCTACACGTTATTTTACTTGCCACGTTGAATTTAATTCCTTCAACGTGTTTCCCAAATTAGACTAAAATTATTTCAGCTCCCATGGATCACATGTAATGTAACTTAGGCACAACATAATGTATGTTTTTATACTAGCTTCAAATGATGTAAGGAAAAATACATGTTTCAATAAAAATAAAATTAAAAAATCTGTCAATGTAATTTTTTAACTTCTAAATTAGTTTAAATCAACTAGTTTCTAAAAATGCTGATAATTTTTTTATAGTCTAATACTTTGTTTCATAAATGTTCTACAGAGAAAAAATTAAAGTAAGCATTTTTATAAATTAAAATTGATTTATAGATATCCTTTTTTTTTTGTTTGGAAGGAGTTAATATAAGAGAACTTTTATAAATTAGTTTATATACAAATTATCTTGGTTTATGTATAAATTAATTTTAATTTATGAAAAAATTATTTTATTTTAATTTTTCTATTCTTTTTAAATACCTAACAACTAAATAAATAACTTAATTACAAACATACACGATTTTGTGTCTAGATAAGTTGTCAAATTGATTCGTTGTGGAAGTAAAAAGTTTTTATTTTCATTTGGATATATCATTTAAAAGTGACTTTATGACAGTTTTTATATGAAAATCATATTCCTGAAAATATAGTAGTAATTTTTTTTAATATTTTAAAATTGATAACTATAACTAATCTGTACGAATGTGATTTGTATCAAATATTATTAATTAAATATTATTTTAATATTAATAGAAGAACGGGTATTCATTTTACTTAAATGTGAAGGAATAAATTGGTATAAATTATGAAATGACGTTGAAAACGAGGTTCACGATCAAATGAATGGAATGTACCGTATTTATTTATTTATTTATTTATTCTGTTTTTAGTTGTTTCCAGTGTTTTATTTACCATTTATGCCTTTTTGACATTTTGCTTTGAAACCTTTTACAAATCACAATTGCTATGAAACTTTTTGGAGTGGATTAGGATCCTAATTGAAGAACAATATCTCTCCATCGAGATAATTACTTATTTGAGAATCAGTTTGATATTAATCGACAAAACAATGGATACAGTGTTACATAAATAATGATAAAATAATAAATATACTAATAAGATTATATATATATATATATATATATATATATATATGAGGAATCAATTTATTCTAAGAATAAGTTTATCTAGATTTACTCCATTCAACAACTCATATTTTATATTAAATTTCAACGATCCAACTGTTGAATTTAAAGTTCTAAATATATAGATCAAATCTGTAAATTTTTAAAAATTTTAAAAATTATTTGATACTTTATTTCATCAATTCAAATTGACAGATAATCATAAAATTATTTTATACATTAATTTGAATTAATGAAATGAAATATTAAATGATTTTTAATTTTTTTTAAAAATTTACAGATTTGATCTATGCATCAAGAACTTTAAATTCAATGGTCAGATTGTTGAAATTTGACGTAAAACATGAGTTATTGAACATAGTAATTTTAGATAGACTTACTCCTAGAATAAACGGATCACTTATCTACTTTATATATTTATATCAAATTTTGTTAAAATTGAACAACAACATAAAGGTAATCAAAGTATTTATATTTTATTATATTTTGAAATGTATATTTTATATTAATTTTATTTTATAAGAATAAAGTATCAAATCATCTTAAATTAATATAAAATTATATATATATATAATCTAATAGTAAAGAATTTTTAATCTAACGGTTAAATTTATAAAATTTACATTTAATATAAAATTATTAACCAATATAATACATAATAAAAATTATATCAATGTGGTTTGAATTAATATATATATATTTATATTTATATTTATATTTAAACAAAAATTTATCCCATACTATAGATGATGTCATTTTAATTGGGGTGATATGATGTATACATGGGGGAGGATGATCCACGATAATCACAAGTACTTGTCATATTGACCATAAATGTTAGTGAAATATATACCAACTCAAGATTAAATTAATAGATATTCAATGCTTAGGAAATTATTTATACAATTTTATCATTTGAGAAACTAAATAAGAAAAAGAGTGATATTTGAAAGACTAAATTAGTGGTTTATGCTTTTTAAATTATATTATTAATAAATAAGTGCTATTATTTCTCTACGGTCGTATACTTAATTGCACTAGTGTAATCTTAAATTATACTCTAATAATAATTCTTATCATCAACAAAAGAATTTGTACAATATAATTAAAATTTATTTTTTATAATTTGTAAAAGTTGAACAATTAAATTAAAAATTTACAATAAAACAATAATTTTATTATTTGAACATAATTTATATCATATCTTATTTATGTATATCAAATTTAGATGATATAATATAAAAATATTATCTATTTAATATCTTGATGCACAGTAATATTAATTATTTTACTTTATCAAATTTATGATACTTTATCTCATCTTACTTTCATATCTTATTTTATTCTATTCTACCATATTTATTCTAAGTTCTAACTACCATGCTGACTCTTAATTTTAAACATCAAGGTAACATGGTATGAATTTTACACATAATATCCCGTAAATCCTTCTACATCTTTACACAAACGATTATTTTTCAATTTTCTCAGTTCACATATAAAGATTTTGATTTTGACCATTCAAAGTCATTAAGAGTTTTATACGGGTGCTGAAGATTTACAATATTGTTTCAATGAAATGTTGCAGCATCAACGTCATATGATTCCACTTAAATGTGGGTTTAACTTTTGATCTTTATAAAAAATAATGATAAAAAATAAAATAATTAAAAGGATAACTTAAAATGATTTTGAGAGAGTATAAAGACTTAAAATTTCAATTCTCATTGTTGACATTGTAATTTTTTTAATAAATAAAAATGATATCGAGAGATTATTTTAAGTTAAATTATATTTTTAGTTCTTTATTTTATTTTATAGATTTATTTTGATACTTTATTTGTTAAAATATTTATTTTGATTAAATTCTTGTCAAAGAAAAACACTCTCATACTAAATAGTCCTTTATATTTAATATATAAAAATATATAAAAGTAAGTATATAATTTTATATATTAAGAATAAATACTTTATATAAATAAAACTTTATAATTAGAGTATATTAAGATACATGTGATTTTTACCTAAAAGCAAAAGAAAAGAACAATTCTCATAAATATCCAACTATAGATAAACTTGATTAAATTTCCGTTTCCCTTTCGGATTGGTTATTTAATGATGTTAAAATGAAGATTATTTTATGCCTTTTGCATCTCTTAACCTTCATGTGAGCCATAAAGTTGAGTTTTGGTGACCAAATAGGAAAACAGCTACATATATTCATCAAAGAAGTCTTGGAATATAATAACCAACACACTCAATATATGTAACTACCTTAATTAAAAGAAGAAAAACTGAAACAACGCGGAAGCCGACAAAACTTAACAACTAGCATCAAAACATTGCTTGATAGCTTTAGATTCTCGTCGACGTACTCCACTACTTTCCTCGTAACATCCTCCATAAATTCTTAAATCTGCAAATTACTAAACAAACAAAAGCAACCTTTGGTTCTTCCCTCCTCGTAGATTCCTACCCACCAAAGCCGGAAAAATAGTATGCAACTTTCTTCGTTTCATAACGAAAAAATGACTCGTCTTCTTGAATAATGCTAAGAAACCTTAAAGCATACGAAAACCTTAAAATAGTATATATATGTTTGTAATCCTTGGCATCAATATGTAAATTATGTATCCAAGTTTATTGTTCCAAATTTTCTGGACTCCTCAACAATAGTCATACATCAGTTTCACGTACGAGGTAAAGACTGTATAGTCGTGTATACTTTGTTCCAAAACATATTGTTACAAATATATAGCTTCAATCTTTCAATTCATTGCATTCTCCATATATATATACACAACACTTTGATTATTGCTTTGGTTATTACTTTGTTCTTGAAACCATGTCAATAACCTTGCTCACAAACTTTGAACGCGTTGAGGTACTTCTCAATGCACCAGACACCGTTAGTGTATCAAATAAAAGATGGCATTCAGCATTCGTTGCCATATATTGTTCCCGAGCCCTTATGTCACACTTCACTCCCAATAACAACACAAACAAAACCAAACCAAAGGCCTTACCTAAACCAACATCATCTTTTACCGTGGTTGATTTGAACTCTCACCATTCCTTTGGTATAGACCAAACCACCCTCACTGATATTGTCAAAGAAAAAGACCTTCAAAGCCTTGAAAATTTTGGTGGGGTTGAAGGGGTGGCAACAGCCCTTGAAACCCACGTTGAGTATGGCATCAAAGGTGATGATGATGCTGAAGACATCACACGTAGGAAACAAGTGTTCGGTTCCAACACTTATGCCAAACCACCTTCCAAAGGTTTTTTCCACTTCGTGGTGGAAGCCTTTAAGGATGTCACTATTTTAATCCTTTTGGTTTGTGCTGCTTTTTCCCTTGGCTTTGGCATCAAGGAGCATGGCCTCAAAGAAGGTTGGTACGATGGTGGAAGCATCTTTGTTGCGGTGTTCATTGTCATTTCCTTGTCTTCAATAAGCAACTTCAGACAGAACAGACAGTTCGACAAGTTGTCTCAAGTGAGCAACGACATACAAATTGATGTGGTCAGAAGTGGGAGGCGCCAACACGTGTCAATCTTTGACATTGTGGTTGGTGATGTCATTTGCTTGAAGATTGGAGATCAAGTGCCAGCAGATGGGGTATTCATCGAAGGACATTCACTCAAAGTGGATGAGTCAAGCATGACAGGAGAGAGTGATCATGTTGAGATTGATAGACGTCGCCACCCTTTTTTGTTCTCTGGCACCAAGGTGGCTGATGGGTATGCTAAGATGCTTGTTACTTCAGTTGGTATGAACACAACATGGGGACAAATGATGAGTTCAATAAGCAGCGATATTGATGAGGAGACTCCTTTGCAAGAGAGGCTTAACAGACTTACATCATCCATTGGGAAGGTTGGTTTGGCTGTGGCTTTTCTTGTCCTTGTTGTTTTATTGGTTAGGTACTTCACAGGGAACACAAAGGATGAGAATGGAGAGAGGGAGTTCAATGGAGGCAGGACCAAGTTTGATGATATAATGAATGCTGTTGTGGGGATTGTTGCTGATGCAGTTACCATTGTTGTTGTTGCAATCCCTGAGGGTCTTCCACTGGCTGTGACTCTCACTTTGGCTTATTCAATGAAGAAAATGATGGCTGACCAAGCAATGGTGAGAAAGCTATCTGCATGTGAGACAATGGGTTCTGCTACCACAATTTGCACTGATAAAACAGGCACTCTCACACTCAATGAGATGAAGGTGACCAAGTTCTGGCTTGGCCTAGAACCTCAAAGTGCATACTCAAAGGTTGCTCCATTTGTTCTGCAACTGATCCAAGAAGGGGTGGCTCTCAACACAACTGGTAGTGTGTGCAAGTCCAATGAACCAGGTTCTGAATTTGAGTTTTCAGGTAGTCCTACAGAAAAAGCAATTCTATCTTGGGCTGTTTTGGATTTGAAGATGGAGATGGAGCAGTTGACAAGAAGTTGTTCTATCATTCATGTTGAGACTTTCAACTCAAAGAAGAAAAGAAGTGGAGTTTTGTTGAGAAGGAAGGCAGACAACACAGTTAATGCACACTGGAAAGGAGCAGCTGAGATGGTACTAAAGATGTGTTCAAGATACTATGATGCTTCTGGCATTGTGAAAGATCTTGACAATGATAGCATGTTGAAGTTTGAGCAAATTATTCAAGGTATGGCAGCTAGTAGTCTTCGTTGCATTGCGTTTGCACATGTAGAAGTAGCTGAGGAAGAGGTTGAAGATGAAGAAGGCAACACAATGGTGAAAGTGAAAGACAATGGTTTAACATTGTTAGGACTTGTGGGGATTAAGGATCCATGTCGTCCAGGGGTGAAGGCAGCAGTGGAAGCTTGCCAACATGCTGGTGTGAATGTAAAAATGATCACAGGTGACAATGTTTTCACTGCAAGGGCCATAGCAACCGAATGCGGCATACTTCGACCTAATCAGGACACAGTTGGAGCAGTTGTTGAAGGAGAGGAATTTCGCAACTACACACATGAAGAGAGGTTGGAGAAGGTGGACAAAATCTGTGTGATGGCAAGGTCTTCTCCTTTTGACAAACTTCTAATGGTTCAATGCCTGAAGCAGAAAGGACATGTAGTTGCTGTCACTGGTGATGGCACAAATGATGCACCAGCACTGAAGGAAGCTGATATTGGACTCTCTATGGGAATTCAAGGCACTGAAGTGGCCAAAGAGAGCTCAGATATTGTTATACTGGATGACAACTTTGCATCTGTGGTCACTGTCTTAAGGTGGGGAAGATGTGTTTACAACAACATTCAGAAGTTCATTCAGTTTCAGTTGACAGTGAATGTTGCAGCACTTGCAATCAACTTTGTGGCAGCAGTGTCAGCTGGGGAAGTGCCACTAACAGCAGTGCAACTATTATGGGTGAATTTGATCATGGACACACTTGGTGCCTTGGCTCTTGCAACTGAAAAGCCTACCAAGGAGTTGATGGACAAGCTACCTGTTGGTAGAACAAAACCTCTCATCACCAATGTCATGTGGAGGAACCTATTGGCTCAAGCTTTGTACCAGATAGCAGTTTTGCTGACCCTTCAATTCAAAGGTGAGTCTATCTTTGGTGTGACATCAGGGGTGAATGACACATTGATTTTCAACACATTTGTGCTTTGCCAAGTGTTCAATGAGTTCAATGCAAGGAAGATGGAGAAGAGGAATGTGTTCAAAGGCATACACAGGAGCAAGTTGTTTTTGGGCATTATTGGCTTCACAATAGTCCTTCAGGTGGTGATGGTTGAGTTTCTCAAGAAATTTGCTGGCACAGAGAGGCTAAATTGGGGGCAATGGGCTATTTGCATTGGTCTAGCTGCAGTTTCATGGCCAATTGGTTGGGTTGTGAAGTTGATACCTGTCCCAGATACACCATTGCTCAATTTTTTGAGCAAGAAGAAATGAAGACATAGCCATGTAGGGTAGGTGATCATTCTATTTGTATTTACATATTGTTTTATCATATACGGATATATTGTATTCTCGCACATTCTTTGATTCTTTGCTATATTTACTGTAATATATATTTCAATGTAATAGAATTATGATTGGTTTAATAATAAATTTTTAATTATCATTGTCATCTATAAATTTTACCTTTTAGTCTTTATAATTAAAAATATTTCATTTTAATCTTATATAATTATATTTTTTCTTCTTTCAGTTTTTGGTGTTTATTTCTATGGAGACTAAAAGATAAAATTTATATAACTATAAGAATTAAAAGACAATGAAAATAATATATATAT